GCGAGTCCCCACGTCCATCCGGCGTGGGCTGTGTCAAAGAGGTTTGGGGTACCCAGTGTACGGGCTTTTGACTGAATTATTATGCCGTCACACCCGGGCTTCGATCGACTGAATACTTCTTAAATGGAGGGTGCCATCTGACAAGAACTCATGTTCTGTGAGAAGCGGACAAAGTTTATATATTTTGACAGTTTGACTGGAGACGCCGTATCCTGTTCCTCGTATCTTCCACGTATTCCAATTTGTATCCGGTTCCTAAACAAAAGAGCGCTTTAAAATATTCGTAGCATAGCGGGGAAAGATGATCGAAATCATTACTCAGTATAAAAATTCATGGATAAGTCTTGTGCCAATGTTTTGACCTGCTAAGCGGCTAAGTGTCGGACCATCCAGAGCGTGAGACTAGGGAGGTGGCTCAGCAGATAGCGGAACGGTACAGGGAACAAAGCCAGCAACTCACATAACGGCAAAAAAACAACTAAATGTGTTAAAATAATGTCCCGGTGGTATTCTTGGCACAATCGCGGGTGGTGCTACGGCAAAAAATTATCTTGACCTCAGATTCATATCAATGCAAAAATACTTAATATACTGAAGCAATGACACAATGTCATCATTGGCACAATGGCACAGTCGCAAGCTGCATTATTTGCGACATCTTATTATATTTTTGCATTTATATGAGTCTGGAGCCCAGATGGTTCATGTAAGAACCGGATTCCTGTCCTCCAAAGTAATGTTTTAGAGGTGTGCAAAGCCAAGGTTCTCGCGTTGCCATCCTCTCCCTGCCTGTTTGGGGTTATCGTCCGCTCAGGTGACACCTATTGTTTGTGCTAATGTTGCACACTGCTCAGGTGACACCTATTGTTTGTGCTAATGTTGCACACTGCTCAGGTGACACCTATTGTTGTGCTAATGTTGCACACTGCTCAGGTGCACCTATGTTTGTGCTAATGTTGCACACTGCTCAGGTGACACCTATTGTTTGTGCTAATGTTGCACACTGCTCAGGTGACACCTATTGTTTGTGCTAATGTTGCACACTGCTCAGGTGACACCTATTGTGTGTGCTAATGTTGCACACTGCTCGTCTCCAGCGTAGGGCAGCAGCAACAAAATGGTGATTTGATGTTTTAGATGTGGAAGCGGCGACAAGATACGTTTCTTGCGAGCTTTACGCGCACATGTTTGTTATACGGCAGACTGGCGCTAGTTTTCTGACATTTTACTCGGAACTGGTGTATATTCTTACCTGTCGTGATACTGAGTAAAGTTCTGTTTCACTTGTTCAGGTAAGGGCTCGTGCCTTTGCAGAAAACTCGATCCCTGCAACCGTTATATTGCACGGATGATGCAAAAACCCTACAGGAGAATGAATGTTATGCGATGGTGCTCACTGTGCCAGGATAATTTGTCACGAGCGCCTGGAATAGCTACCGCACCTTCTTCGAAACGACATGCTTCTCGTGGCGCGTGGGTGACGTCACGGAGCTAGTGTGCCGGCGGACGCTGCTTTGTGGGGCCGCTGACAGGTAGGGGAGCACGACAGAGAGTGCCCCGTCTGCGGAGCGAGCCATCACGCAAAGAAACCACGGTGACTTCACGTTTCCATGGCGGGTCACCGTGAGCCCCTTTCGTGCAGCAGGGTAAAACATGTGCAGCGATAGCCGGTATTCATGGTGGACCTCCACCGTAAACATATGCAGCAATAGGCCGGTATTCATGGATGGCCTCCACTGTAAGCATGTGCAGCAATAGGCCGGTATTCATGGTGGACCTCCACTGTAAACATGTGCAGCAATCGCCGGTATTCATAGTGGACCTCCACTGTAAACATGTGCAGCGATAGGCCGGTATTCATAGTGGACCTCCACTGTAGACATGTGCAGCAATAGGCCGGTATTCATAGTTGATCTCCACTGTAAACATGTGCAGCAACAGGTCGGTATTCATGGTGGACCTCCACCGCAAACATGTGCAGCAATAGGCCGGCATTCATGGTGGACCTCCGGCGTAAAAGGGCGTCTTCGGACTGAAGGGTTGTGTGTTGAGTGAGTAAGAGTGTGTGAGAGAGAGAGTGAGGCCCCTATGAGTTGTGGTCTCGATTTAGTCTGTTCTAAGGTAATATGCTATTTGATTGGTGATCCACCGGGCAAGGCCGGCTTCGGCTTCGGCTTCGAAAAATTATATCATTGACCCGGTTTTGGTTTCATGTGTTCTTGAATCGCCTAGCTTTGGCTTTGCTGCGGTTATTTTTTATAGTTGTTATGGCTTTACTTTATAAAACAGCTTTGACCGTTCTGTCTCTCCAATATACCACGCAACATTTCGAGCCTATGATACACATATGGCTGAAAGACAAAAACTAACTGGTCATTCTCGAAACCAATAAGACCTGATAACGGTCCTAGAACTAACTGTCCAGCAACATAGCAATGCGAAAACCATGAGTTAATCAGCTCCACACTCTCCTATGAGAGCAACGGCAGTCTTTGGTTATTCCTCACACGAGTGTGATCACAAAAATAAATAATCTATCCCTGCCGACTCCCATCGCTTTCACCCTAACATTTGCGGGTCATTTTCATCTCCTTACCGGAGAGCTGCAACAACACATGAACCTTAATTTACAAGGCACCTGCTGTGTATTCCCAAAACATCGCGAGCCGTCGCATAAGGAGCAGAGGCGTCTGCCGCCAAATGTTCACTACGCTACCACCTCGCGCCACAGGCACTGCTGCCACCTCGCGGCAGGAGCCCGAACTACGCGACCCCAGCGCCGCCGCCGTCTGACCGCCGTTGCCCGGCGTGGTGTTTTTAAGGTGGGGCCCGCAGCATTACCCGGACGTCTCACGTGGTCAGTGACATGGGAAACAGCAAGATTTTTACAGCAACAGCAAGAACTACGTCTCGAAGTCTGGTACCAGACAAATAGCTGCAATGCCATTACCACTGTCCTAATGTGTTTACATACACACATGCATTTTACCCAGCACATTTTCAAAAGCTACCGCGGCGTTTTCATGACGTGCCCAAACATGACTACCTGTTAACCTTGCACAGCATGAAATCGACCGGCTAAGCTCAAAGGTAAGGACATGCAGAAAACGTCCAATGAGCTTCCCTCCTGACAATAACACGAACTCCTGATTGAAAACGACCGTGGACTATTACGCAAAAGAGTAACTTGACAACCTCAGAAAAAGTTTTAGAACTATAAGCGGCGGTCGTGGCCTAAGACCGTATGGGATAAACAGTGCCACATCGCAACCAGGTGGTCACGCACTAAGCAGGGTTCACGACTGCTTTCGCCGGAACCTCACCAAACAGCTTTGTGATAACAACACCGCGATGGCTTTCCTTGCGAAGCCCGAGCCCAGTCTCCGCTTCTTCAGTGCAGCGGCACATACGAATGTACGGCGCCGGCGCCTCCGTCCCGCGCGGTGCCTTGCCCAGCCCCACGCCGCGCTCCCCGACCTGCTCGGCGCCCCGACGGCGCCAGACCCGACGGGCGGAAACCAAAGGACTGCTACTACGCCGCGCGCTGCGAGGAGGCTTCTGTGTCCAGTGCCGGGAGTTTGCTCTTTGCGTTACCGAGCAGACCTGTGCCTGACTCCGTGCTCTAGGATCCACCAAGCTTACATTGTGTTGGGATAGAATCGATTCCGTCAGCTTTTCATAGCCAGACGGAGTCGGAGGGGTGTCAACCGAAACTTTTGGGTCCGACTCGAATAAAAATGCGAGTAACGAAAATGATGTGAACTCATAAAATGACATGAGCAAGTGAGCTCATTAATTACTTGGTTTGCTAATTAAACAACTCAGGATGCATGAAAGTACATGCAGGATGCATGCAAGACTTGAATAGGACGTATAAACATGCTCGGAATAGCGCAGTCATAAACAGTAGTCTTGCTGTCCACATAACTCTTTTTAAGCTTTTGTAAAGCCCACAGACCAGTCTGCTCTTAGCTGTTGTCACTTCATAAAACTTTTTCGCAGTCAATCCCGGAGTTTAATCATTATTCTTTGAGCTGGGACGTTCGTTCTGATGGCTCAGTTGGTTAGAGCACCTGCCTTTTGATCTACGCACCCGTGGCGGGATGGGTTCGAGTCACTTAACGCGCTTGATATTTACTATTGCCATATATGGTCTGCGACCGGCGTCGGCAGCCGCGCTAAAGGTCAGATGACGTCAAAGGGCAGGACGGACCGTGCCAAACACTGCGGAACGTCAAGCACTCGCCACCAAATTCTACCGCTAACCTGCAACTGCACGATCGGGTGGAAGGGGATCAGGGCTCCCACAAAAAGCACTGCTGAGCGTGAACTTTGATCACAGAAATCTATTCGTTTAAATAGCCCATGATTTAAAAAGTTCAATCTTAAATGAAAAACTGCAGCCGACGCAACGTTTTACCGTCCTGCTTGGCGTCTGACTCGAATCGGGATCGGCACCGATTCTGCTGAAGCGGAATCGGACACGACTCTGTCACCCGTTGGTTCTGTGATGTCCACAGACCTGGGGTCGCCCAAGTGCGCCGCGGGCTATTCCAGGGCGTGCTGAGTGACACCACCGGTGATTGCTTCCACCTGCCGTGTCAGGCGAACAAGGCAGCGTCTTCAGATCAGCCACAGCCCCGTCTGAACAGCGGATGTGACCCTGCCCCGGGCCTGAGTTGGTTTTGGACAGAGGCGTTGGGGCGCCTCCCGGCGGCCGCTGAGACGCGCCGACCGCCGCCTTCCACGCGCCGCCGACAGGATGTCCCCCCCCCCCTCCCCCCCTTTCCTGCGATCAGTCCGCGCCGGCCCGCCGTCTGTATCAAAGGTGCCACCCCGGCACAGCAAAAACCCAATTAACCGGCGCCCGCCGCCGGTGGTTGCGGCGCCCGCCGCTGGGCGTCGCTGGCGTCGCGGCGGCCGGTCTGGCCGGCCGGCGCCGGCGACGGCGGTCAGTGCGCGCTCCGAGCGACGGCGGGAGGTGCGTGACCGACGCTCGCTGGAGCCGCGCCGCGTGCAGAGGCCGCCGAAGCGCCGACGAGGGCGGACTGTCGCACGAGCGGCGTCGGTGCCGACGCGGGGACGGGGCGAGCCGACTTGAGGCGGCGGTCCCGCAGCGGCTGCGTTCGCCGGCTGCGACCGGTCCTGGTGTCGCCGGACGGGCGCGAGTGCCGCGTCTGAGGTCAGAAGTGAGCGGCGGAATCAGTCCGCCGCAGGTGTCGGCGACGGGAGACTGCCACTGACTCTGGACCTGGCAAACCAGACATCGGAAACGTTCGAGTAGTGAGCCCTAGAACGCCCCGCGTAGTGGGTCCACAGCAGCAGGACCAGAGAGAACAGCGACTTGTGTGTTTGTCGTGCTCATCCAGGACGCTCTCGAGCCTCCGCTCTCTCAGCGTCGCGCCGGCAGGTGATAGCCAGTCTGCCGCGGGGGGCGTTCGCGAGAGGCAGGCCCACTCTCTAGCTCCAGCCCCAGCTCCAGCCCGATGATGCGCCTGCCGTTGCTGGCGCTGCTGATGGCCGCCGGCCTGGCCGCCGCCGCGCGGGCCAGCATCCTGCAGATGTTCGCCGCCGACCTGCCGCCGACGGACCCGTGCGTAGACGAGGCACTGCGCCGGCCGCGCCGCTGCGTGCCCGACTTCGTCAACGCCGCGTTCGGCCAGACGCTGGCCGCCTCCTCCACGTGCGGCGCGCGCCCCGAGCAGCTGTGCACGCGTTCGCCCTCGCCCGGCGAGCCGCCCGAGTGCCAGATCTGCGACGCAGCCACGCCGGCGCGCGCGCACCCGCCGACCCACCTGACCGACCTCAACAACCCGAGCAACCTCACCTGCTGGCAGAGCGCCGCGTTGCCGGCCAACGGCTCCCAGACGGTCACGCTGACCCTGTCGCTCGGCAAGAAGTACGAGCTGACGTACATCAGCCTGCAGTTCTGCGGACGCCGGCCCGACTCGCTGGCCATCTACAAGTCGATGGACTACGGGCGGACGTGGCAGCCGTTCCAGTACTACAGCTCCGAGTGCCGGCGCATGTTCGGCCGGCCGGCGCGTGCCGCCATCACGCGCGCCAACGAACAGGAGCCGCTTTGCGAGCAGCCGGCGCCGGCCGGCGCGCTCGGCGGTGGCCGCGTGGCGTTCAGCACGCTCGAAGGCCGGCCCAGCGCCTACCAGCTGGAGCACAGCCCCATCCTGCAGGACTGGATCACGGCCACCGACGTGCGCGTGCAGCTGACGCGTCTGCACCCGCTTCCGCCGCGCGCGCCGCTCGGCAACGGCTCGGAAGACGCCGCAGCGGGCGCCGACGCCGGCGGCGGCACCGTAGCTGACTTCTACGCCGTGTCCGACCTCTCTGTCGGCGGGCGCTGCAAGTGTAACGGGCACGCGTCACGCTGTGAGACTGACGCCGCTGGCAAGCTGGTGTGCGCCTGCAAGCACAACACGGCCGGACGCGACTGTGAGCGCTGCAAGGCGTTCCACTTCGACCGGCCGTGGGGCCGCGCCACCGCCCAGGCCGCCAACGAGTGCAAAGGTGAGTGTGGCCACCGGCCGGCGGGAGCTGGCGGGGCGTGGGGCGCCCTCCGCCTCCCGGAGGAGGCTGTCTTTGCCGTGGGGCGCCCTCCGTCTCCCGGAAGAGGCTGTCTTTGCCGCGGGACGCCCTCCGTCTCCTGGGGGAGGCCGCCTCCGCCGCGGGGCCGCCCTCCCCCTCCCGGAGGAGGCTGCCTCGGCCTGAGTCTCGGCCGGGCCAGCCAGCGAACGGGTCGTGTTTTGCGCCGTCGTCTGAGCAGTCGGCGGCGTGCCGACTGTTGATTGACGGAGGGACAGCCGCGGCGCTCGGAGCCCGCCGCCCGCGGATCACCCACGGCGCGGCTCTAATCGGCGCCCCGGCGGGCGGGCGGCGCTGCCGCGCTGTCTGTCCGCGCTCCCCACCCCCGTCCAAATCCTCCAGGTGTCCCTTCGCCCGGCCCCTGACCCCCTCCCCCGATCGTGGGGGTTGGTTGTCCGCGCCGCCGCTGCCGGGCCGACCACCCGGGTGTGGGGTGAAGGGCCCCCTCTTGCGGACCCCTCTCGTGAACGCCCGAATGGTCGGCTGTCCAGCGCTCCGCCTTCCGCCTCCGGATGGTGTCCGTTCCCCTAGCCTCGGAGCGCCTGCTGTCGACGGCGGCCCAAACACGGCTGCTGCGCGCCTGTCCAGTCGGCCCCCCGTCCGTCGTCGGTGCACACGGCCTGCCGTTACCAAACACCGGGCATAATGTCGTGGGCTGCAGAGAGGAGGCCGGGACCTGTGAAGCCAGCTGTGATGGCTCGCTGGGTTTGGGGCATGTAGGATATGGCTGGCTATGCAGAGCAACAGTCGGTGTCACTCAGGTCATGATCGTAACACCTGCCTCCCCCGCCCCCGGATACCTGACCCTTTGATCTTGAGTGCTGCATCCGTCCGGGACTCCCACTCACCTGAGGGTGAGATAACAAGCGGCTCAACGCTTTTAAACTCGCGTTGGCTATGCGCTGGACCAGCTTAGTCACTCTTAACACCGCAGCTTTGCATATCGCTGCTAATGTGCATTATAAATCATATTTGTCACTGATAGCAGAGGACGATATGCATCGTGTCACATGCTCCTTGTTTATTCATATTGTGACTGCTTGGGATAAGTTGCTGGCAGTGATTACTGATGGTCTGAGTCTGCTCGCAAGGCACTTTTGATGATGCTATACATTACACCCCATCTCCCGTTGACCTTTGGTCGCGTGGACTGCTTTCAATCGCTGATGAGATATGCCAAGATAAAAACCGCATTTCATATTTAGGAATCCAACCTCCCACAACCAACATGTTATGCTGGTGCAATTCAAACATGCAAATCACCTTGTCACTGGTGATCGGAATTTCGCGACGAAGACTGGTCTCGGGTGAGGAGTTTTCAAATCGAGTTGGCAGACTTCCTCAAAAATTGAGATCCGCTGCTCTTGCCGGGACATTCACGCTTGCTTTTATCCCGTCCATGGCGGCGTGTTCTAGCGTTCTTCCAGCGCTTTACCCAGAGTCTCTGGTTTTGGCATCGCTGGAAGTCGCCGATAAAAGGAAAGCGCGCATCGAACAAAGAGTATCCTCCATAAGTGAGCTGAAAAGGCTCAGTTCAACGCAAAGTCTTCCGTTCAGGGAACATGTGACGATATGGAGAGATGGCGGTCTTCCGTTCAGGGAACATGTGACGATATAGAGAGATGGCAGTCTTCCGTTCAGGGAACATGTGACGACATGGAGAGATGGCGGTCTTCCGTTCAGGGAACATGTGACGATATGGAGAGATGGTAATCTTCCGTTCAGGGAACATGTGACGATATGGAGAGATGGTAATCTTCCGTTCAGGGAACATGTGACGATATGGAGAGATGGTAGTCTTCCGTTCAGGGAACATGTGACGATATGGAGAGATGGTAGTCTTCCGTTCAGGGAACATGTGACTGATATGGAGAGATGGTAGTCTTCCGTTCAGGGAACATGTGATGATATGGAGAGATGGTAGTCTTCCGTTCAGGGAACATGTGACGACATGGAGAGATGGTAATCTTCCGTTCAGGGAACATGTGACGATATGGAGAGATGGTCTTCCGTTCAGGGAACATGTGACGATATGGAGAGATGGTAGTCTTCCGTTCAGGGAACATGTGATGATATGGAGAGATGGTAGTCTTCCGTTCAGGGAACATGTGATGATATGGAGAGATGGTAGTCTTCCGTTCAGGGAACACTGTGACGACATGGAGAGATGATGGTCGCCGTGCGTGCCTGCTGTCAGCTTCCAGCCCCCATGCGCTTGACTAGATCCGTGCCTGCTTCACTTCTCTTCGAAGTGTCCCGTCAAACCCTCGGTCTCCCTGTCGATTCCAAACTTCGCGCCCACCACCTGTCCGTCAAGGCCTTCTCCGCACTGTGGCGGTGCCAAAGGATGACCCCTCCTTTCTTCCCCCCTCCCCCTCAGCCCACCTTTCATTAGCGCCGACTCCTACTTCCATCCGGGCCTCTGAGGTCGGCCGCCAGATTATCATGATCTCACGCTCTTCAATCTGTTTCCCCGTTTATCTTCCTTGCTTCAATCCTACTCTTCTTTCCAGCTGCGAACAAATTTATTCGGCAGACAACTTTCGGTGGATTTTAGGTCACCAAACAAAATGCGAACGTTCTACAAAGCTTTCCAATTGGACATGGAGGCACCAAAAAGAGTAATGGACGCTACTTCACACAGACCAAAAGACCATCGCCGAGAAATCAGCGCCATTCAATGAACAAAGGCCTCTCCTTGAACGGGTTTCGCTCCGCCCGTCCTCAGCTGCCACAGTCAGCAGAGGTGCTGACCCAGCAGCCCACCCCCTCCGGCGCGGTCCAGAGGGCGTTGCACCCGCTGCACGGACCGGCCCGATTTTGGGGCGCGTGGAACAATCGGCCCGTCCCAGGCTGGCCGTCCGCGCCGTATATGCGCTGCCTTGAGTGGTACGGACGGGTGAACGATTGGCGGGGGCGGACCCGGTCAGAGGTCAAGTCAGGTGCCGAGCTGGGGACGGCAGCGGGCCCGGTCAGAGGTCAGGTCAGGTGTTCAGCTGGGGACGGCAGCGGGCCCGGTCAGAGGTCAGGTCAGGTGTTCAGCTGGGGATGGCGGCGGGCCCGGTCGGAGGTCAGGTCAGGTGTCGAGCTGGGGACGGCGGCGGGCCCGGTCAGAGGTCAGATCTGGTGTCGAGCTGGGGACGGCAGCGGGCCCGGTCAGAGGTCAGATCAGGTGTTGAGCTGGGGACGACAGCGGGCCCGGTCAGAGGTCAGGTCAGGTGTCGAGCTGGGGACGGCGGCGGGCCCAGTCAGAGGTCAGGTCAGGTGTCGAGCTGAGGACGAATCCAGCGCCTAATCACCACCCATGTGAAGGCATCGTTGCCCCCAGGACCACCAGCAAACGATTTATCAGCGTATAAGTATCATGCCTACCCAATATATTGCATGCGCGTGAGTATCAAGATGAGCGTGTGTGTTTAGGCAGCATACATTTTTGAGAAATTCTGATCGCTTCCCAACATTCGATTAAGGCACAACAAAATCAGCAGCCGCTCAGTGTCAGCTCTGACTGAGTTACTCAGCAGCTCTGCGAACTCTGACTGAGTAACGAGTAACTCTGAGTAACTCTGACTCAGTGTCAGCTCTGATGAAGGTGTCAGCTTTGCGTGGATCCAGCGCTTCGTGGTGCGATACCCAGCCGTGACCACGAATAAAGCCCGCTGAAATGGCGCCAATCGTTGCGCAGAAGAGCGGCACTTAAGCCGCGCTGTTTGCTGGTGTGCTGAGGAACGCGATACGCTGCGTTCGACTGGATACCGCGGCACTCTGTTTGATTCGATATGCGTTGCACGTGAAGTTGTTTGGGTTCAGTTTGAACGTGCTTCTTGCCGGTTACAGGGCGAAACGCATATCCAAGCTGAGGTCATGATGTGCTTCCGTATGCATTGTGATCCTCGTCCCAATATATAAACAACATTTGAGTTATTGCATGTCCGTATTTGGTGGACGTAAGCTGCGCTTTGCGCACGGCATTTCGGACGTAGTTGTAGATCGGTAGTGATTCGGGTGGTAGAAATTATTCTCAGTCATCGCGACCTCGGTAGTGATTCGGGTGGCAGAAATTATTCTCAGTCATCGCGACCGTCTCCTTAATGGAAGCTATCATCTGCGAATGGGCCGGTATGTTTAATAATCAACTAAATTTGCACAGTTGTGTGTCTACCTGAACGAGTGAGATCAAAGCGGTTATGGTTAAAAATGTGAGAACTGAGTTGCTTCCCGATGCGAAGCAAGCTGCAATGTTCTCGCGAGCGACTCCCACAGAAAAGTGCTTCTTATAGATGAGACAGTATTTAAAGACTTATTCCTCGTAGAAGAAACAGGAGAATGGAGAGATAGGTGTGACATTTCGGCTACATGCCTTCATCGAAATGAATATCAGCAGTATCTTAGTGATATTCGTGTCGTAGAAGTATTCTGTAGATAAAGTGCTTCACTGACAGTTCGATTCCATGAAGGTATGTGGTCGAAGCATCACATCTATCTCTCCATTGTCCTCTTTCTTATACGAGGAGTGAGGCTATTGATACTGTCTCTATGTACATAATGTTCCACGCAAATGCAATTAACAACTTACGTATATGCTTCTTCAGCTCTGGAAAGAACCTTTCACTTTCACGTCTCTCCTGCAGCACCCTCAGTGCAGCTGTGACAAACGCACATGCCCGGAAAATTACATGATTGCATACGAGGCCAAAACAGCTACGTTGAGAAGCAGAGAATCGTACAACGAAAACCGTTCGCGCCTATTCTCAGAGCTGTTCTGATGTTCCGAGTCAAACCATGTATGTGCTGACGGTGGCACACGGAACGGTCGTTCAACACGACGGACCCGTTTAATCAGATAGTGCGGTTTTAAGCCAGCTCAGACATAAGCCGGGTGAAACTTCACATTCCTGTCATCACTGCTCGGTTTTGAAAGCCTG